TTGGAGGCCTTACAGAGGCCATGGGTTTAGAGTCAAATGCACTGATCATTCTGCTGTGGGAATGTGCTGATGGCACTGTGCAGATAAAGATCTCACTCTGGAGCAAATTCAAGAACATCTGATTCTCTGAGTTAGACTCCTCATTTTTGTTTAGAATGACAGACTGAAAGTCAGAATGCTTCAGGGAAAGTGTTGATTCTCAGTTGTTTCTAGAATTAAGGTTTACATCTGTTTGTGCTATAAATTTTAGGAGTCATTCATGATTCTGGTGATGGATTACATGAAGGCTGTTGCTTGTTACTGGAATGACAAAATTCAATCAAGTATCCTGGAAAATGATTGTGATTTTTAAAGTTTTCTTTTTTTCTGGTACAGTTGGATAACTAAAGGTAGGTGGATGTTTCCCTGCAGTTTAGCCAAAGCTACTTAAAAAGGTATTAAGAAACCAATTCTTTTTTTTAATGTAACCTGGTGTTTCTGTTGAAATGGATTTCTTATTAGAGCAGGTTTTCTCATAGGTTTTGAACTTTACTTACAAGATGATATCACAGTGGGCAAACTACAAATGCTATTTAATAGTAGCAGGTGGCTGTATTTGATGTGCCTGATTCAAGCATTCCCTTCAGAACAAGTCCATTGTAATTTCAGTTCAAACATAGAAGCAGTCCAAGGAGCAGAAGTGAAATCACACATCTCACTGAATCTTGCATTATATCTAGCAGCCTGGAAAACCTTTCTAACCAAGGAGTGAAGGTGTTCATTATCATCTATTAGTTCATTCTCTGAGTGCAAGTTGACTTGTGGAATTTGATCTGGTCAGTCTAAACAAAATATTTAGTCAAAGCATCAGGGGCCCTGTGTCTGTGTGCCAGCTGCAACTAGACTTTAATTTTGTGCATTAAAAAAATGAAGAGTTGACTGTTAAAACACTGGGCTTGTGTGGTTAAAAACCCACACTTGTGTGGGCTCTGACTGAGTCCCTGTTGAAGGAAACTATTGGATTGATATCCCAAGAGGTCTTGGATAGATTAATCCTTTTTTTCTGCTGGATTTAGACCTGTACAAGACTTGAGACTCTGAGGTCCTGCTTAAAGCTCAACAATGAGTGATGTAGATGTGTCTAAAACTTTGGGAAAGCTTGAAAATAAAGGATGGATGGGGGTGAGAGGAAGGCAGGTCTTTCTGAGACCAGTCGTTGGGAACACACATCTGTTACAGATCTCTCTGCTTCAAGATGTGTTTAAACAGTGTTCTGTAAATATATTCATAATAGTCAAGAGAAGATGAAATCCACACCTTGCAATCCTTATGTTCTTTAGTTTTCCATGTGTGGTGTTGATTTATTATTTATTTGTTTGCAAATGTCTGACTTAAATATCCTAGAAAGAAGTCTTCATTTGATACTAAGGCTTGTCTCTTTGCAGTTTTATTTATTTTTCTTTTCATCTTTGTAATATTGCTGTTTCCTTCTGAAATGTAAATTATGGTAAGGCTAAGAAAGAGATGAAGTCACATCTTAAGCCATTTACTCAGTTTTAGAAAGGGATCTTCAATCTACCTGATGGATCTAGTACCAGTAAGACTCTAAAGAGTAAATGTTTATTTGTATATTTCCAAATTCATCCAGAAATTAAAGAACTTTCAGTATTTAAAAGAACATTGCTGTTGCAGTGTGTGCAACCAAGGGGACAAGAAATAGGAGGCACAGGCTAGGTTCTACAGATCTTTGGGGATGGTCTTTGACACTGCTATGTCTTGCTTGCTCTGGCTTTTTTCCTTTCTCCCACTGTGAAAACCAAGTGTTTCCTGGCTGCCACTCCCCAGTCCAGCAGCACTGTCACAAGTACTGATTTGGGTGAGGAGCAGCCAGTAAATGCATAATTCTGTTACATCCAAGTTTGAAAACAAAAGTCCTTCAAAAGAGCAGTGCTATGAGTACAAACAGAGCCATTCAAAAGTGCATCAAGCTCATCCCTGTGCCATGATTGGATCATTTGAAACCCCGAATCAAGGACACCAAAAGCCATTGATAGCATTCAAAGTTAGCACAGTCTTTGTGCCAATGAGGAGAAACTGCCAGAAGAGGTCACAAAGGTGTCTTTAGACCAGTAATACAGAAATAGAGTTTTAGGTTTAAAGTCATGGTTTTAAGGGTTAAAACTGACCATCTACGCACTTTTAATTAAGTTTTCTTAAACGAAATGGATCAACTGTACCTCTAATTTCCACTGACAACTTGTGAAGGAAGCAGTGGTAGCCTGCACACTTGTGCTAAACCCATTTTGGCACCGAGATTTGTTGGAGTGGAATTTTAAGCAGCATCAAATTGCTCTGAATATTACAATGGAAATAATGAATATGCTATTGGGATATGCCTGCTGAATACTTTGAGTGCTACTCTAGGTATGCAGTTTTTGTTTTGTCAATTAATCTTTGGTTTGATATCTGCAGATATTGTTGCTTCCATGCACGGTGTGTAAATGTTAAAAGCAGCAAATGTGATAAGTAACTAAAACATTAAGGGATATGCCATCTTAGAATATGATAAAGTATTGCATATTTTATATGGTAAAATATATGCAATATGAGGGAATGAATACATCAATGTAGTAATAGAATGCCATTTTCAAGACCAAAGTATTATCAGAGAACTCAAGGCCAATGATTGGGCTAGATACATAGCAAAATAATAAACTCCTTTTTATTAAAAAGAGCTGAATTTATCAGATTTATGACTTATCTTTAATAATTGAAAGCCACAAGACCAAGGATTTGTGTTCTCAAAGTTCTAACTAGTCAGTAATATCAGCTATAATACTCTCATGTTTTAAATGACCTTTTAAAGATGCTCTATCAAATTAAAATTTAATGAGTGGTAATAAACAGTGATACTTTCCATAGCAGGAAATGCAGCACTAGCCTGAAGCTTTTGCTGCCATCACCTCCAGTACTGTGTTATGTGCCCTCTTTCCTTGTTGCCAAGTATGGGAAGTATGATGATACCACAGCACTTGAAGGAAATGAAAATACCTTTAACAGTACACGTTGTCCAAGATGTCTTGTTGGATTAATAATGGTGTTTCTGTTGCTTTCATGATGGTTTTCCTGAGAATTCCTTCTTTTTTAGTAGTACATTATGATATTTCAAGGTTTTGACTTTTTCCTGCTCAATTCCTACATTGAACAAGGGTTGGCTGGCAGAAGAATAATTTTGGATGAATTAAAAGTATTAAAATATAGGTGTGTACCTCTGAGAAAGAATTGTACTGGCTTTTCCAAAAGCCTGAAAGCTAGTGGCCCTTCAAGGATTAATAAAAAAGCAGATAAGTTTTATGAGGGACGGGAGAGCAGAAGGGGAAGAAAAGAGAGAGGAGGAGTAAGGAGTGGCAACTTGCATCATTAAACTGGTAAATGGTACTGGATTATCAGCCTCCCTACTATCAGCAATGGCTGGAATTAATCCAGGAACTCAGAATGGATCTGTAAATGTGTCTTCAGTTGTAGCCTTTGGCACAGATTTACATTCTCTGTCCCTTGGGCACTGAATTTCATTTCCCCATTTGCTAAATGAGAACAATTTATCCTAAATCAACGATAATCAGAGTAAACACTTTTATTAATTTATTGTTTCCAGACTAGGAAAAAAACAGTAAAATGAAGCTCTCTACTTTCCCTATCCCTTTTGCCCTGAGGATCCTATTAGCAGAAAGCTGAGCAACTCTGTTTCATCAGAAATAAATTATGCCTCACTTTTTTAATGTAAGTACTGAAGGGTTGTAAAGATTAGAAATATGTTTGAACCCACTATCACTTGATGTTTTTTTCCTTGATGTTCTGAGCTTCTTTAGGGGAATGAAACAACATGTTCTTCTGAAAGCCAAGAGCAGAGCTTTTTTAAAAGAACGCCAGCACAGATTGTGGTTGATGGACAAAATCATTTTGATTCTGTACAGCAGCAATATTTAAAGTAATGTATAGGCAGTGTGAAACAGAGCTGTCATAATTCCTGGCATGTATAAGAGGGAGAATGTTTGCAGGGCAAATAGGTGGCAGAACTAGTCACCCTCATTTTTTAAATGATTAGAAAACTGTAATTCCCCAGAAACAGTAGACTAATTCTCACTTTCTTCACAAAGGAGCTAAGGATGAAAAAACACCTTTAATTAATAAACACTGCTGGCACTACTTTGGTAACAAGCTGCTGTAAATGAAACTCTTAATTGCCTCTGAACACAGTATTGTGTACAAATTCATGTTACTCTTCAAGTTCTGGTCTTTGTTATTGCTATTTTACATTTTTGTAGGGAATAAAAGTGGTTTTGTCAACTCCTTGTTATACTGAAAAAAGTTCCTGACAGCTTTCCATTTGTGGGGATCACTGAGATCACCCACAATTCACCCAAAATGTTCTCTCACAATAGCTAGAAGAGACACCCTCAGCACAGGCTGAGTCCAGGCTAGATTAAGCTCCTTATGCTGCTTCTGTTAATAAACCTAGGTTTAAATCTGCCACAAAATTTTACAATGAAGGAAAATATTTTTTAAAAATTAATGACTTACAAAATAAGTAAATAAGGCAATGTATTTATATATTTAGGATTTTGGTGCAAGCGAAGTGTTTCAGACTGTTTTACAAAGCTGTGTACATATATTTTTTTTCCTTTTTGGATTTTGTTTTGGTTTTTTTTTTTTTTAATTTAACCTTGAAATTAACTTTTGGCACCATAGGAAAAGGCATTCAGGTCAATCCATGCTTTAGGGACTGAAAAGACAATGAAGAGGATGGCAGAAATAGATATTGTCTCCCATAGAAATGTTCAGATCTATTGCAAAGATCTTGATTTTGGGAAAACTCTTAAGAAGTTGCAGAGTATTGTTCAACTTTTTTCTTTTTTACTATGTCATATTTAAATGCTTGTGGAAAATGCTGAATTTGGGATCTATCAACTTAAACCTGATAGTGGCACCTAAAATAAGCATTCCTGCTTTCTTCTTTTTAGGGTTACTGAATGAGTGAATAGTCACCAGTCTTGAAAAGAGCAGATGGAGACACTGGTAAGTAGGAGGACATTTACTTTTCAATCCAGAGTACAGAAGGAAAACATGTTTGGAATGGTTATACTTCCTTGGTTTGATGGTCTAAACAGTTCCACAAAAGTTATTTGAGCTGCTTAGCACAAAGCCTCTGGAATGCCTCAGTGCCCATACAGACATGAGGATTCTTGGTGTGTTTTGTTGGGGTATTTTTTTTTTTTCCTCTGTGTGGAGATTGGGTTTAGATGCAAAATGGATTATGAGTTTCAGCCTTTGCAGAAGGAAGCACTTGCACTCAGGAATAACAACCTGACACATGGGTTTAGGAGGGAATCAACAAATATAAAGATGTAGCACTATTGATTTTTTCCAAACTATTGGGTGAAACCTAATTTAAAAAAATAAAAATAAAATAATGAAATTTAAGGGCACTTTCAATTTAAATTTATTGGATGAGACTATCAATGTTCCCTGGCATAAAAAGCATCCTTGCCAGCCAAGAGATCCAGTAGCTTCTTGTTTGCAAATGTCACCCATTGAGAGCATTTCCCAGTAACAGGATTGAGAGAGGGCCTCCAGGCTGCCAGGCAAATCCCTGCCTCTTGCACCTCCCTTTAGGTGCTGCCTAATTGCCCTGCAGTCAGCACACAGACTGGAGGAGTGCTGCTCATTTCTGTTCCAAGTGAAGTGTTTTGGACAAAGCAGAGCAGATGCAGCCCCTCTGAATTCCCACAACAGATGGAAGAAGCAGTTCTAGTGCAGAATATTCTGGGAATGTTGAGATATGACAGATTTGGCTTGAAATCCCTACTTCAGGTAGGCAGAATAAGCTTTAAAAAGTTATTCTCCAATCATCCAGAAGCAGCTTTTTGACCCTCAGTGTTACAAGGTGAGATGGGTGCACCCTAGTGTTTGATAGATTGCCGTTTGTACAAAATACGTAGTATTTGCTAATAAGAAAAAAGTAAATTAATGGGACGCTTTACACTCTGATGGTTAGAACATAAACTTCTGAAATGTGAGGAAACAGATAAATAACTGCTGAGGTCAGAACATGATGACCTTTCTTTACCTTTGGAAAACAGCTTGTTTGAAACTCTAAGGTGTGTGAGACTTATTTCCTATGGTTATTATTCTATGCCTAACTTTTGAAGTTCATATTTTTGTTCTTTTTTCCAATTTCTTTTTCTAATGATTCTAAAATTTAATATGGTAGCGTGATAGCTCTTGAAAGCACAATCTATCATATCCAGAAATTAATTAAAAGGAAAACCTGCACAAATGGCTATGGGAAGGAATGCATGAATATCTTATCCAAGATGGTTTGAGGTGCAGTTTCAAGGTCAGCCTGGACCATTCTGGGTCTGTGCTGCAGTCAGAGCGGCAGCTTTGATTTCCTCACCTCTGACCCCGCATTCCTCCTTCCTGCTTACACTGGCAATTTCAGGGGCGCAGTAACCCAGTCAGAGGAAGAAAACAAAACTCTAAAACCCCAAATGGCTCCCCCACCTCTTCCCAAGGCAGCCCTGTCCTTTAGAAAGCATGAGAACCTTTTCCTGCAGGAGCAGGTTTGATTGTGATGTTGCTGTGCAGTTCTGCAGTTGGAATTGTTAATGCAGGGGAGCAGCACAGGAACAGCAGCTTTAGGTACATTTTTGGGTACTTTTTTGAGCCTGCGGGGGAGCTGCTTCTGAAAATGCTGAAGGCAGCAAAATCCAGAGAACTTATCCATGACTTAGAATAAATTTCAAATTATGGTATAAATGTTAGTTCACAAGTTTCTGTGATTCAGCTTCCTGTGAGATAAAATTTTAGTTTTATCTTTAACCAGGAGTACGTATGGTTATAAATGGTGATTTCCCTTTAGTGAGTGGCACTAAGTGCTGCAGATATCATTAGGTGCAATTTCACCCAATCAGTCATTTCTTAAAGTAAGTCAGTGTCATAAAGGTGGCTTGAGGTTTCTAGGAATGCTTGCATTTACTGTTTGTTAGCAGAAATAAAAAGGTACAGTTCAGATATTTTATTAGCACTTTGAATTTTACTTGCACTGTGGACATTTGCATGCCTGATATTTATTTTTAAATAGATTTGTATGTCTGATATTTATGTTTAAGTACATTTGCATGTCTGATACTTATGTTTTAATACATAAAAGGAGATGTAGTGTTGTCTTTGTGGTGTTGTTACAAATGCTTTGTGTGAAGAAATCTATAGCAGCACAAAGCTTCAAGAAGAGTGGACCTAAAAATGCACAAGGCAATGATTACGAACTACACATTGGTGCCTAGCAGGGAAAAGTTTGTAATCCAGAAAATGTGCAGAAACATTTAAGTCATTCAAGGTCATCACAGAAAAGATAGCAAGTAAATTTCAGAGTTATCTTTAAGATTATTAGGACTGCTGGAAAATCAAGCCCTGACATTATCTATGTCAGGCATAAATAAGGTTAAATATGAGTCAAACAGGTTTGTGACAGCTCTTATTTAAAATAGTTTTTTCATTAAGTAACTCTTCTGTTGATCCATGAATCAAAGATTAACATGGGAAGAAGAAATGTATATACATGTATATTACAAAATACTTGCCATCATTCCATTTCATGAAAGGTAGAAACCTAAAAAAGAAACATTCTGGGAATTATTAGTTTCTAGCAATTACCTGCCTTAAAAGTAACTGTAGTCTAAAGGAGTAGTCAAAGACTTCACTTAAAATTAAAAGAAGAAAAAATAATACTATAACTTTTAAATATAAATCTTACTTTGTAAACAGTTCTTATTGTGTTGAATTATTTTTTTCAGTATAGGCAACGGCAAAATGAATCTATTACTAATCTACAATTTTTAAATTTTAATAATTAGTTTGCAAGATTGACCAGGCTCCTGAGGAGTTCTGTCATCAAGAATTTTTATATACAAGATCCCCAGGTGCTTGCAGCTGAATTATTCACAATGTCGATCAATCAAGTTTTGATAAAATGGTGGTGATAAAACTGTATACAGAAAGCAAAGACTATTTCAGCTTAAAATATCTGTTAGAGTAACCTGAACAAGGTATAAAATTAAACCTTAATTAAAATCAAACCTAAATTGAAATTAAATGTGCAACCCAGATCCCAGGTAACCCTTGTGATGGATGTGGAATGTAGAATGGTTTCATTGTGTGATGTTCTGCATTATAGTAATAACTGCATGGAAAAATCATTTCCAGTATTCAATTAATAGTCAAGCTTATAAACTTCAGATTTAGAGACTTTAAATGCACAGGAATGTTTGACAGTTGTAATTGGAATTTTTTTTCCAGTAGCTGTAAACACAAAAACTGATAGAAGTTTTTCTGTGTAAAAGCCAGAGTGGGGAATGGAGGACAGAAAGGAAAATTGGCTTTAAGGAAAAAGGATGGTATCCTAGCCAACCACATCATGCATGACAAGGGCATGATAGCTCATCATGACAAGGAGCTGGAGAAAAGTGGAGTAATTTAGTGTAATCATATGTTTAGAGAAACATAATGAGTAAAGGACTAATGAATTCAGGTAACATGGGTTTGTCTCCTGTGCTTGTCAGGGTCCTGGAACTGAGTAAGTGTCATTTTGCTATGTGATAATAATACATCTTCTCCTTTATGCCTTCTGTCTTAACTATTTGAAACTACACACTCATCAGGTCAAAAGCTAATGCATATTGTGTGTGTGAACAGTAACCTATTCCAATGAGGGTATTTATCTTAGTTGCTTAAATAGCTCCAGTGCCATATCCTCCTAATCATCCCTGGTGACTTCTGGCTCTTGTAGTGTAATCACTGCATAACAACAGCCACAGAATTTGGTGTCTCTGTAACCCAACCATGTCTTCTGTACATCTGATAGCTCTGGGAGATTAATAGTGTGATTTCCTTGGAAATAGTTTGGCTGAAACTGTGCTATCATTTGGACACTATATTTGCATCTGTATTATTTTCTATAATCTAAATAACTTTTATAGAAACGGGGCGTGGGGTGCTTGTTTTCAGCAACATTGAATAGCATATTGTTAAGAAATTTTCTTCCTATTCCAGCCTCTTAGTAGAAAATCACTTTTTACATTAGGTCTAACATTTAAAATGAAATATTTTCAATTTTTTTTTTTTTTTTTAATGAGGAACAAACACTGGCAAACTCAGTCTGTCAGCTAAATAAGCCTACATAGCACATTCCTTAAAAATATAAAAGTTACTATAGAGTCTGGACTTGAGATCCAGATTTTCCTGTTATGGTTTCTCTCAAAAGAATTCTTCTCTCACAAGCATTTTCAAAACAGTGCTAATGCTTTGTGTCTGGCAAGAAATGTAGTGAACAACCAACTAAGCTGTATTTGAAATTTTCTCCTCCAAACATGAACAAAACAAAAGAAATACAGTCAAATGGAAATGAATCTTTTAAAACTTTTTTCTAGTTCTGTTAGTGCAATCTCAGAGTGTCTCAGAGAATACAAACATGTTTCATCTCCAGTTTCATTCAATCTGTTTTCACTTTTTTGACAATTCAGTATGGGTGTATTTGAGAATTTAACGTCAGTTCTTTCTTTTTTGACTCTCCCTTTCTTTCCAACTGTGCTCACTTATTTTATATATATGTCATTTCACACTAGTATTTTTCATCTACTCCACTGGAAAAAGTAAGACAGTAAGATGATGTTCACTTTCTGAAACTAGTTCTTCTTTCAGTTCCGTTTCCCTAAGGGTGCTTAAAAGAAGGGAAATGCAAAATGCTGAATTGGAAAATTTAGGATTTTTACTGCTACATAACAAAATGCTTGGAAGGAATGGGGGAAATCCAGGTTCCATTTTTCTGAAAAAAGCAAGTTGTCACCAAATCTCTATTTTGGAAAAAACAAACAATTGTTGTTCTTAGAAGAGAATGTTTAATAATACAAACTGTTTGTCTCCATGATGTCAGTGTGTAAAAAGTGGATGGGCTTGTGATTCTTTTAGTGTGAAAAATCAGCTCTTAAAACTCAATTTATACATCTGCATTGAAACTA